AGAGGAGACAAGTTGAGAAGAGATGTGGAGAGACAAGACGAGAATAGATGAGAGAAGATGAAAGGAGAACATCTCGAGACAAGATGATAAAATGAAAAGAGATGACTTAAGATGGAAAAGGATGAAAATCCATTAGACAAGATGAACAATGGTGAAAAGAGGAGCCAAGATGAGATGAAATGAGACAAAATGAGATGAGACAAGATGAAATGAGATCAAAGAAATAAAGGCATATGAAAATCAATGAGATACGATGAAATGAGACAAGACGAGATGAGGATTTTTTCAAGTTGAGATACCAGTAGTGAAAAAGAAAAGGCAAGACGAGTAGAGAGGACATGAGAACAAATGAAAGGAGAACATTTTGGGATGAGACAACATGAGAAGATTCAAGAAGAGAAGCGACTAGATGAAAATAAATGAGACAAGAGGAGAAGAGGACATCTTCAAATGAGAAAGAAAGAGCAGGTTAGAGATGAGAAGAAGAGATGAGACAAGGTGAAAAGACTATACAAGAAAGGACAAAATTAAAGTCCATGAGATGAGACAAGACAAGAACATCTTCAACAAGTTGAGGCAAGAATAGTGATAAAGAAGAGACAAGATGAGATGAGACCAGATGAGTGGAATGGAGGTTCTATTAAAATCAATGTTCATTTTTTTCAAAAACATGATGTAACTTTAAAAGACAAGCTCTAAAACATGGAATAAATATGGAAATGCTTTAATAATTATTTACTTCTTACAGAAATGCTACTGTTCTGGTTGGATTTAATGATCTATGCTAAGCTAATGCTAACAGTGCTATCAACCGATCTGGAAAACAACTGAATAGTTTCCAAACCAGTAGAGCACTAGATATTATTTCAGAAGGAGATGCAGAAGAACATGTGGTTAAAATGTTTGTATTGAACATACATAATGTTTTTAAATCAGATTTTATACTTATTTCTAACCTCATGCATTTATATTTTTATACTATTTATTAAACAAACTACATTTCTCAGTATTTAATGTATATTTAATTTTTTTGCAACTTTAGTGTATGTCTTTTATTAAGCTTTATCTTTTCCTGCAGAGATTTCCAAGCACAAGTTGGAATCAAATCTGTTTCTTTAAGAATATGCGTTTGTTTTGAATTTAGCCTGCATTTGCTTTAGGGAGATGTTTGCAAGGATTAAAAGCAGCCTCTCTTTGTTTCTGGCAGTCTGGACTCACGCCGATTCATGTGGCTGCTTTTATGGGCCATGAAAACATTGTGACTCAGTTGACAAATCACGGAGCGTCTCCTAACACAATGAATGTGGTGAGTACAACTATCTTTTAACCTCAACGACTCCAAACAAACACTTTTACAGGCCACTTTTTGTAATGAAAAACTCTTTCTGGAACTTTGGTTGCCGCAGTGGCTGGTCTCCTGTTTGCTCAGAGATGGGCAAAATTGTGCTCCCTCTGCTTAAGGTCTCATGTTTAAAACGACTTAGAAGTACTTTTTGACTTAAGTAAAATTAAACACATACTGGTTCTGTGCATAATTAAAAGTACCCTGAGATAAGGGGCTATATTTCTAAATGTTAGCATCACAAAATGACAGCCCAAAGCATTTGGGAACTATAATTATAAAACTACAGGGACGTCTGGGATTGGTAGCCTTCAAAATGGTCTACATCTCTATTGCATTGCATGCAAAACTCAGGGGAGCGAACAGTGCATTCCTAATACTTGATGGAAGTCCTCAATGAGATGAAACGTATTCAGATGGTCACATGATCCTGACTTAGAACATCTGAACTATTTGTTCTACAAACTGTTCTGAACACAATTATATTAATAATGTAGTATACAGTGGTACCCCAAGATACGAATGCTTCGAGTTAGGAAATGTTCGAGATACGAAAGGACTCATGGGAAATTTTTTGCTTTGCGATATGAAGGACAATTTGAGATACGAACAATAACAAACATTTCTGCTCTATTATCCGCTTGTTTGTCTCATGTCATGCTGCACTTCCGGGTCCTGGTGCTCCTTTCTCCCTTTAAAGAAAGTGTGCTTTAAAGGGCTGAGATGCCTTAAAACACTTTAAATCAGTTTTAAATCGAGCGAAACATTATGTATAGATTGCTAATAATGTGCAAAAACAAATGTTAGAGTCGAGGCATCGTAAAAGAAATAACGTTTATAACGTGGAAAGTGCTGTTCTGTAACACAACTTAGAGAAACCATGTGACCCCCTCTCAGAAGCGTCTCTCCATACTCTCACACGCTCTGTATTCTCTCCACTTGTGCTTGAAACCGTGTTGGTGTCAGTAATTCATGAAATACGTCGTGCCGTAATGTCTTCCGCCACCTGTTCCACCTCCTCTGACACATCGCTTCACTCAAAGTAAGGTTTCACATCTGTGTACATATTACGTATTTTGGGTGTGTTTTACTATTATTTATTACATTAACAATGTTTAGATTTAAGGATTGAAGAAACTTTACTTGATTTTTCTCTGGTTTTCCTTTTTTATCTACTTATTCTGTTGTTTCTGAGAGCCGTTGCACTGATTAGGTGTTTTACATGTAAGACGTGCTTCGAGATATGAATTGTTCGAGATACAAATGTCACCCTGGAACGGATTAGTTTCATATCTCGATGTACCACTGTATTTCCAAAAACAGCCTCTATACTGCCTTTGGCTGTGTATAACATGGACAGAGTGTCAGTGATGTCACCTAAAGCCGTTAGATTTAGGGCCTCCAATTCTACGTTTCTAAGTGTGTAATTGAATATAGGTTTACAGTAAATCCCGTCTGCTGCATCTGGACAAAAGTAAACTTGAAGGTGCTTACTGCCTGTGAAACAGTACACATTTTTTTAAGTGTAGAATGTAAAAATGAACATTTTCAATCCATTAGAAGAGACTTAAGTGCAGTACTTGAGCATTTTGTGTTTTGTTACTTACTATCTGCGAAGAAAAAAGCCATGAGTTTAAGAATAGTCTGGCCATTGGTTGGAGCGGACTGTAATTAGAGGAGAGTCAGACTGTAATCATTGCCATCAAACAGATGGTTGGCAGAGAGCAAGGTACTGTTACTTTTGAGACACGTGGGCTATTTAGAGATACAACACTCAAAACAAGATACGAGCACTACTAGTGACTCTTTTCTGAAGCTTCTTCTCTGTGCTTTAGAGGGGAGAGACGGCGCTCCATATGGCTGCCAGGGCCGGACAGGCAAACGTGGTGAAATTCCTGGTGGCAAATGGAGCAGATGTGAACGCCAGAGCCAAGGTGAGTGAGGGATGAACATCTGCTTTGTTTGCGAAGAGCCCTGGCTCTTTAAACATCACACAAACAATAGTTACATTTCAATCCACTTATTTTTATGCACATTAACCTGGATGGAAACACCATCAATTTTAAAAGCATACAAAATTATAAAAAACATTTTATCCAATTAGTGAAAGTGCACATGAACTTTAATGGAAATGCATTTAATGGCAATTCGGTTTTCTGTCGGAGCTGGGGCGCGAATGGACTAACCAACAAAGCGATTTCATTGCACAACATCTGAAATGTTGTTTTGGTCATTCTTAGCCAAAGTCTGTGATTAAAGTGGTTCAGAATTATCACTCCCCAGAACTGTCTTGACCGGCTGGATTCCCAAAAGCAGTCTCCCACCTACAAAAGAAAGATGAAATCATGCATATTGCGCTTCTTCTGCTTAGCGCAGCAACTTTACTTTTTATTTTGAAATTTGGCGGCAGTTTATCAGGAAATTATGATTTTTTTTTTCTTGAACTTATTGGATGAAAATGGTGATTTATTCACAAATATTTTATGAGATATTAATAAAACTAATTAGCATTTTTAGATGGAAACAGGGCAAGTGACTTCTCAGGGCTGCCCACTTTTCTGAAATTTGGATAGCCACCCAAAGGTTTGCCCACTTAGTTCCTTTACGTTAACGTACACTTTCACTGAGGAACCTTTTTTTACTCAGAAGTTGGTGAGAACAAGAAATAATTCCAAATGTTTGGACCACGACCAAGTAAACAGGAGAAACAGAATATAAATAAAATGAAAAAGTGAAAATCAGTTTTATTTGAAGCAGTAATTTTTACACAGTTATATGCAAGCAAATTTTATTTTTGGATAAAAAACAAACAAAAACAATTCATCTTCCAACTAGATCATATTTCCGAGCAGTTGTGGCCCAGTGTATAAGGAGTTTGACTGGTGATCAGAAAGTCGCTGGTTCGATCCCCTCAACCTCACTCTCTCCCACCAATGATAACCACAACTGTGGTGCAAGGCTAGATGCTAACATGATCACCCATGTTAAAAAAAAATAATTCCCTAATTAGAAAAAATTGTCATCATTTTGAAATCTGCAATTTTAATTCATAGTGTATTATTATATCACACATTGCTTTTATTTAATAAATACCTCTTCTGTAGTTTTTGCTCCAGTCACAAGTAAAGAACTTTTCCATCTAATATATTCCTTTTCCGCACACTTGCTGGCTAATGCTGACTAAGTACATTTGATATTCTATACACAATCTTAGAGTGCGGCTGCTTTGTGTGTATTTGTAGGATGATCAGACACCGTTACATATATCCAGCCGTCTGGGAAAAGCAGACATCATCCAGCAGCTGCTACAGCACGGCGCATCACCCGACTCCACCACCTCATCTGGATACACACCGCTCCATCTGGCTTCACGAGAAGGACACAAAGATGTAGCATCCATCCTGCTGGACATGGGTCATCTCTTGGCATCACAACTAAGGTCTGTTGGTTTTGCTGTTCGTCTTTGTGCGTTCCACTGTGGAAGTCACTAGCAGCCCATAGAAGCACTTGTGGGAAAGTTATGAAGTAGAGTAGTTTCTAGAGGAGTAGAAAGTTATTGAAGTCCACTGGTAGAGGAGAGTATGACCTGTCACCAGACTGAATTTGCAGCGTCTCTAGCCAGTCCACCAGTCTGTAAATGTTAACATTTATGATGCAGAAACGAAATTCCATTCTCAAGGAAAGTCGATTAGTCTATGAAGCCATTTCCACCATGATAGTTTTTCTGTTGAAAAACTAGGAAAAAAGTTGAAAAAACCCCCCCAGGATTTTTAAGGCTGTATCTCCACAATGCTTCAATGTATTGGCACCAAACTTGGTGTAACTTGTAAAAACAATGATATGAGGTTGTATGCAAAGTTTTGGTGCAGTGCTCCTGCGTGGTCAGGAGATATGGAAAAACATAGACTTTTGCAAAAACCCTTAAAATTGATTTCAACATATTTAGAGCATCAAGTCGTGCCATCAGTTTGATTTAAATCAAATATAACTGTATTGTGGAAGCACGTTAACATAAAATTACAAAAGTAATTTGTTGGACACCAGGACTCAAGCATTTTTTGCCAACACCATGCTTGTGTTCACCAGTATAACGAAATGTAGAAAAAGTGTATTAACTTTAACCTATTGTTACGGTTGTCTTTTGTTACCTGGGTCTAGCTAAGACCTATTTTCAATAATTGACTGAACTTCCTGTCATCCATGGTGAATTATTAAGATTTTAATTATTAATTAAGACAGTTTTTTCTTTAAGTTTGAATCTGTACATCCTCAGATTTTGTTGTATTGGTGTTTTCGTTAACAAACGCCATGGTGAATTTGGTGGCATCCTACATACTTAAATGGAAAGTTAAATCTCGGCAACTGTTATTGGCACCATACTTGGCGTGAGTCACTAGTACCTAACATTGACCCAGCAAAAAATTGGTAAAACTGACAAACTTTTTAATATTTTGTTTCTGGCTCATTTGAAATTAAATACTTTTTAGTTTAGTTATACAATCGCATTGAAATGTCTTCACTTGCCTGTCCGACATGTCGGCAGTTACATTTTGCCATCTAAAAGTGCCTAATTATGCATTTTCTGTAAAGAATATGTAAAAATATTGATTGTACTGAAATGTTTATCGTTTGCAGAAGGGTTTTATTCCATTTTATTCCAACCACATTTGATAGGCTTCCAAACAATTAGCAAAAAACCTTGCTAAATTGGTAATAGGGCTGTAACTTTTCAATGCTTAAGTGTATTGGCACCACACTTGGTGTAAGTTTGTAAGAACAATGAATTGAGATTGTATCCACACTTTTCATGAAGTGCCCCCTGGTGTTCAGGAGATTAGAAGAAAATCAAGTATAGAGCATCAATCCGAGTCAAACTTAATTTTTCAATGTTTGCACATTGATGTAAAATTGAGAAAGTAGTTCGTTTGACATCATGTCATGAATGGACTCATTTTTTGGAAAACGTGTTCACCAATATAATAAACTTTAGAAAAGCCTAAAAACTTTTACTAACTTTAGCCTAAAAATCTTATCTTGTCTTTTTTTTTCATCTGGTTCTAGCTAAGAACATAGAGACCCATTTTACCATATTTTACTTCCTGTCTGCCTAATTGAATGATAAAGATTTATGTTTAAATTGAAATGATGAATTAGGACAATTATTTAGTATCTTGGAAAACTTTGTATTTATTGTAGATAGAAGTTTTTTTAAACACCAGGGTGAATTTGGTGGTATATAATGTCTGGAACTGTTATTGGTAGCAAACTTGGTTGACCCAGAAAAAAAATCTGCCAACAGTGCCAACTTGAGGTCAACATTTACAAGCTTTTTATTATGGCTCAAACCATTTGAACTGTTGTTTTAATTTATTTTAGTTATACAATCGCATTGCAATGTCTTCACTTGCCTGTTCACCAGTTTTGCCTTCTAAAAGCTCTCAGGTATATGTTAAGAACATTTAAAAATAATGGTTACACTAGAATGTTTGTCGTTTGCAGAAGGGGTTTACTCCATTGCACGTTGCAGCCAAATACGGGAAGATAGAAGTTGCAAACTTACTGCTCCAGAAGCAAGCACCACCGGATGCCGCAGGAAAGGTACTGTATAGAAAACTCACTATTTGCACAAATACGTGTTTATATATGGACTGTAACTAGCTCACATCTGACACCGTGTAAAGCTTGTCAGAATACAAATTTACTATCCACAATTCACTTCTTGTAATTACACTAAACGATGAAATTTGCATTAGTTTTACCACAACTCTAATCATATCCAGCAGTACAGTTGTTTCTGTTTTGATTTTATATAAGTTCGCGTTTGCATTCAGGTTACGTAGCATCGTTTTGCTCTTACAAACATATTTATGAAGTGAATAGTGACTAAATGACTGCAGCATCTACGCCTGATAATTGTTGGATTTACAGACACCCCCCCCCCCATCAGAACAATAATAGCTGTGTTTATGCAAACGTGTGTGTTTTAGAGTGGACTAACACCACTGCATGTTGCTGCGCACTATGATAACCAGAAAGTCGCCCTCCTCCTGTTGGACCAGGGAGCATCTCCTCATGCAGCTGCAAAGGTATCGAGAAGCTCCTTCAGGCTTCAGCACACACTGATGAACACGTTGAACGAGTCGTTTTTAATTTAGTCCCATCGTCTTATTCCAAGTCCACCCTCCGAAAGTACAGAGGGTTGTAGATTTATAGCTCTGGAATGAGGATCTGTTTTTGTTTCGACAGATTTAAAGCAACACAACGATGAACATTCGTCTCATTTTAAAGCTGGATTGTGAATTCATTCGTGCACAGAAAATGGTATTGGGATGTGGGGGAATGGCACACACATAGATCCATTTTTTTCTTCTGTAGAGTTAAGCACTTTTAGCTCCTTCTGAACACAGCCTCCTGTTGCTTTAATACGTTTCAACGTTTCAGTCCTGTGAGCTTTCGGGATTTGTCTTGTTTCCTCTCTGACTTGCCAGAAAGTTCTGAGAATGGTGCAGGAAACGTTTGTAACTCAAACACGATTAAATGCTTTTATCAAGCTCCAGCTCATGTTGGAGCATGACCTCAGCTTGGATTCATCTTGAAATGAAACACACAGGCTCTCTTCTACTACACAGATTGCTGTCTACTTCCTGAACAAGGGACTACTCAGAGAAATGAACATTTTGAGAAAGGAATGCTTCTGAAATTTGCTACATTTTTTTCTGTTTAGAACCAATGAAGTAAATTACATTTCCCCTTCTTCCCTTAAAGGGGACATATTATGCAAAATCAGCTTTTCTGACATTCCTAGCATCTTTTACTGTCTCAAGATTTATTCAGTTTCACGCATGTTTGTGTAGCCCTGTATTTCTTATTTTGTGAGCCCGATATTCCTCACCACGCCAGCCCACTGACCAATCAGAGTAATCCCTAGCACAGCTCATCTCTATGTAGAATGGGTGCACTCCCTGACCCGGAAGTGAGAGCAGCAGAACCGTGCTGAAGAACAATCAGAGAAAGTGTGTTATCTGTCGATTATAATGTAATGGGCGCTAGGGGTGGGTGATGTCATGCCATGTGGGCATCGACGAAGTAATCGTCCCAGTCACCAACCTAGATTTGAGCACTGCCACCTAATAAATGGTGATGTAGCAATATTAGCGGTTATGCTAACCAGCATTGCACAAACCACATGAAATCATTATATAATAATGTCAACGAAACACTGTTAGAAAGAATAAACACATTCCTGATTTCAAACCCCTACAATATTTGCCTGAAATAGATCCAAACTTTGTTCATTACTTTATCTCAGGCAAACAGCTCGAGAGCTCGTTAGCATACACGGGCACTGAACTGCGTGAAGCATGTTGTTATTTCTACATGTTTACAGTGGATTCATTCGCTTGAGAAGTGATTGAACTGTTTCCTGCCTTTTCTTCTCGTTGTGCTTTATTTCTCAATGGTCTCCCTTTTCTCTGTGGTCTTTTGGCTTCCTATACTCTAACTTTAATTGTACTCCGAATTTTTCCGTTCTGCGCCTCTCTTCCCTCCCGTCTCTTCTTGCACTTCCCTGATTATTTCCACCTGTTATGTTGTTAGCTCATCATTGTCCCGGTGTTCTCTGTCTCGTGCTAATTATGGGTGCTGTATGTCTGCCTGCGTGCGGCGCGGGTTTATTGTTCCAGTTTAGTGACTCTGAACGTGAGTTTTGTTAATATTATTTTTCTGGCCTTGTTTATTTTTAGTTTAGTTCTAGCTTGCTCTCCTTTGGAGAAAGTTCTCAGTTTAAGCCAGGTTTTCCTGCCCCCGTGGAGGTTGTACTTTGTAAATAAAGTTTTTAAGCTCCTGCATTTGAGTTCTCTGTCTGAAGTTCCTGACAAAGAACTCTGCACTTTCGACTTTATTTATGTCCCTTTTCAGCGA